TGAATACATCTCATTTGAGTTCCACAATAACATGAGTGGAGGCATTTTCGATTTTTGACTATTCAAAACTGCAATTCTCAACTGTGACACATTACCTTGGGGTAGAGTTTGATGAACGTTGGACATTAAGAATTAACAACAAGTGCTCAGGCATTCAGCAGGCATAGCAAACATGTTGGATCCTGACCCCAGGAATCTTAAGGGCCCTCAAACGACATGATCTGTCTTGTTAAACACTGATGCCCCCTGCAGGCAGACTGGAGCAACAGCAATGCTTTCTTGACATTACTGCACTTTGAATCTCAAAACTATACTGCAACAAAGCCTTTTTGTGTTTTCTCACATTTTTCATTTTTCAAAGTTGTGAATGCAGTTGGGATGTGCAGAAAAAAAAAATCTCACTTAAAAAAAGTCAGAATAAATGTTGGATAAAAAAAAAACACTAATTTTTTTCTTTGCCCACTTCTATTATCTGAAAGTTAATGATTGAGAAAAAACCTGAATTGCCGGATTTCTTTTATCTGCATCTTCTACAAATCTGTCATTCAGACGCATGGCTGTAGGCCAACAGAAACCAGTTAACCGTTGTACCGTCATACTATCTCCCTGTGCTGTTTGTTATCATTCAAACCTGCTTGCCACTCCCTAGCAACTAATTCAGGTGTGTCCAGGACCCGCCCTAGACGAGCTATGTGTGTGTACCTGTGTGCATGTTTTATGTGATTGCATGTGTCTCATAATTCAACCGGTTACAGATGAGTGGTAAAACTGAGAAAAACGATTTCAGAGGTGTGACTGAGCTTTCACTGAGCAGTCAGTGAGTCAGATTTCGTCTGCTGAGAAAACACAAGTGTACTTTTTCAGTGTGATAACGGTGTATCTATGTGTTTGTGTGTCTATGTATCATAATGTTTTGTGATAAAACGAAATGCTTCCCCGGACAATATAACCACAAATTCCTTTTAGTGCACTTTAGTCCAAGAGAAAGACTAGTGCAATCATGTGGGATTTATTGCTATGGGGTTAGTATCAACTTAGGTAAGAATAACAATGGACTGGGTACACGCAGTGTGGACTGTGCACGACCACACAAAGATACAAACACACACATACATACTGTAAAAAGATTTCCTGCAGATAAGCAAATATTGTAAAAGAAAAAAATGTCATACAAAGGTTACTTTTCTTTTTTAGCTCTTAATTATTGCGGAATGGCCTCTGATGATTTTTACATCAGTTTATTTATGAGTTTTATGAGTTTTATTCTGAGGAATATTGGGGGGGGGTGGGGTTATGACATGATGAGGAGTTAATATTCTAAGATAGATAAGGCATTTAAAGGCTGTTTCTGCTTTTGTTTGTATAAAAAATTGCTTGATATAAAGATTACATTTCACCAAGAAAAAATGCCTTCAAAATTAATTTATATTATCATGTAGTCAGGTCAAGTTGAAGTCAAACATTTCTTGAAGACGGGGGTTTCTGACCTCAGTGTTTATAAAACCATGGCTATTGAACCCTCTATTTTTAATTTGTTTATACTGAGGCCATGGGCCTTATATTCTGAGGAATATTGGAGGGGGGGGGGGTTATGACATGATGAGAAGTTAATATTCTAAGATATATAAGGCATTTAAAGGCTGTTTCTGGTTTTGTTTGTATAACAAATTGCTTGATATAAAGATTACATTTCACCAGGAAAAAATGCCTTCGAAATGAATTTATATTATCATGTAGTGAGGTCAAGTTGAAGTCAAACATTTCTTGAAGACGGGGGTTTCTGACCTCAGTGTTTATAAAACCATGGCTATTGCACCCTCTATTTTTTGTTATGTATTTGCTAAATTCCTTTTCATTTAGTTAATGTGACAACCTTGGTTCTATCCCCCCAGTGGTCCTGTGAAGCAGCACTGAAGACATGTCTGAATTTCAGTATATGAATCCATGAATCAGTGGAAAGTCTGAGGAACCATCTGTGTGTTAACAAGCTGCTGGGGAAACTTAGATCACAGTGTTAATACGTGAGACAATGTTAATTGGCTACGTAATTTAATAAACCAGCTGTCAGGGTTGACTTTTTACCTCACTGTTTACTCATGAATGATGTCATGTCAGTGTCTGGAAATTATATCATACATGTGTCTACAAGTGTCAGCAGGCCTCGCCTCTACTGTGAATCACTAGACTTGATTCTTCAGAGTAAACCTGGTGATGCCCTTGCATTGTTTTTGATATAAAATCATACACTTTGGTGTGAATACGTGTAGTTTTATATTCCAGATGCCAGTTTGATGATGACAACACTACAAGAGTGACAAATTCCCTATTGCAACAAATCTCCTCTTCACAACCGGGAAATATTGCAGTGACCCGCAGTGAGAGCAAACATCAAGTTAAATATTTACTCCCAAGCTGTAAGCTGACAGTTAACTTTCCCCTCAAATGGCTCTGTGTATCTGAATGGACAATGCAGACGGATAGTGACGGTTAAAAACAAAACAAGGATTGAGGGTGATAAGCTAGAGGGTCGCTCCAGTGCAGGTATTACAAATTATGAATATAACTAAGAACTATACCTGCATTATTTGGCACACCTTACTGTAACCGTCATGACATTTGAATCTCCCAGAATGATTCATATCTTACAAAAAAGAAATGTGAATGCTGTGAAAAAAAATCTCTGCACAAGAATCTCAGAAACAACTCTTAGGCAGTTGTGTGGCTGAGGTTTAATGAGGCCAAACCCTTTTTATTGCAGAGCTTATAATTAATGGCATGCTTCCAATTATTCCTCATTATCTCATTATACAGCAAGGTTCACTGTCCCACTGTTCAGTCCGTGTCTCTTTGCACGAAAGCTGTTATTAGACAGAAATTTGGAAAATTGTACATGTTCAGTCTTGCAGTGTCTTTTGTTTTTAGAACATGTATTAAGAGTGACGAAAAAAGTGAGTATGTAAAGCAAACCCACCTTAGCCAATAGTGGTATAAAAAAAATGTCAGGCGTGTCTTTAGATGGGTGTGTTTGGCGTTTCAGGTTTTTTTTTGTTTGAAATTCAAAAATAATTACCAGATGAGGCACTGTGTCATATCAGGGGCAGACAACTCATGCCAAGTCGGGTTAAAAAGTTTGACTGTGAAAAATTAAGGTATGCTTGAATGGCTGGAAAATTCCAGTTTATGGTGTTGGTTTCAATGACTGCCTGCTATCTATCTCTAATTCTATCTGTTCTCACACTTCTATGCGATGAGTACCTGTGCTTAGTGGCTAACACTCAGCAGAGGGCACAATATGTCACCCAAGTCATAGAGTTTTCTCTATTGATCCTAGGCTTAGAAACGTTATCATGATGAACTTAATTAATAAAGACCAAAGCACTTGAGACATTCTGTGCATGTATATTTTATATATTTTCAATTTGTTATCTACCAAAATGTGATGGGAAATAAAATCCCACTCAAGTTACGTTTTATTTTCAGACTTTTCATTGACTTTAAATTTTCTGGAACTGCCTTCACTCCCTTCCACTTTCCAAATGATGTCCAACAGTGATTTTTACATTTTGAGATGTGTATTTGGGTTGTACATATTGAAAAAACATAAACCACCTGTGGTGTGTGTGTGCAGAGTGTAGTGGCAATTTCTTATATTACTTTATATAGTAAAACCAAATGATGATATTATGCTTAGAAATTGTTTGGTCAACTCGACCTGTTGTACCCGCCAAGGTCGTACCTGGAGGATGTGGCTCTCCCTATGAGAGCATTGTAAGATAACAGTTTTCTAAGGAAAATCTTATCTCTTTTACTTCCAGCACAGCAACAGTCCTCTATAAAACACACACACACATTATACCCTGTGTGCACTCCTGCAGACTACTCTGTACTCTGTGAGACATGTACCTTTGAAGCGCTTCAAATAAAGAACCAACGAAAGACAACGCTGCTTGCTTTCACCAGTTTATTATTGATTACTCTCATTGTACATCTTTACAGTATTGACAAGTTTAAAATATCCACGACAAGAGGAATGGAGATAAACATAAAATAAATACTTAGTGAACTTGGTGTTACTTGTTTGTCAGCTTCAAGCAGCGACACCAAACACACATCAATCAAGTGGACTCCTTCTGACCTCAAGAATGTTAAACCATGGATGAGAAATTCTTTGCACAACCACTATCTCTACTGACTCTGCTGAGGATTTAATGTGCCGGCTGCTGTATTTTTCAATTATTGTAAACTGTTTATAAACTGCACTATTACTTGCCAGGGTTTGAATAAAGGAAAGCAGGTCAAAAAAATAGCAAGAAAACCATAGTTTAAATCTTAAATCCAAACATAAATCACATCACGAATTTAGAATAAGTCTTCATAGAGGCTGATGGGGTGATAAGTAAACATCTATAAAAAGACAGGCAGTCTTTAAGAATAAGTTATTTTTATTTTTGTATTTATTATGTGAAAAATGTAGAGATGGATATATCACAGTGGAGGCTAATTTCCAGCTGTTATTCATTGACACATTACGTTCAATCATCAACAGGAAAGGCAGAATTTTCTTTTGATGCAGTCAAGAAAAAACAATTACAAACAAGCTACAACTGAGAAAACATGTTTTATCTAATTAGACTTAAAAGTAAATAGAAATAAAAATTTAAACAACAGTATGAAGTAGCCTACACCTAACCAATACCTAATCCAATACAATGACAAAGCCTGTCTCAAATTCATAATTTAGACATAAAGCAGAAAGTTATAGGATATGTTATCCTTTACAATTGCCAAAACAACATAGAGTTCTAGTTTGAAGAACAGTGGCTAAGTAGCCCATCTCATAGGCTTTTATTCACTTTTCCCAGGAAAGTCTATTAGCTTACTCAAAGTTGAACACATTTTGTTTCATGTATGCATATTGAAATCAAAAGTTGTGATTACGACATGCTTAACAACTTTTTAGAAGAACGAAAAGGCAGCCCGAGCAATAATCTTCCCACACAGACCAGAGGGTGCCAGGAGTGTTTCGTAAACATAGCAAGGTGTGGTTTCTGTCCAAAAGCGGCCAGCTTCCGTCTATTCACACAGAGCAGAGCATTATCTGCGCAACAGGAGACAGGAGGGGAGCGCGGTATGTCCTCTGTGTGTACGACACAGCACACCGACATTTTAAGACTTTGTTCAAACTAACTTCGCAAACATGAGTATGTACGGCTCTAATACGAAATTGCCCACCTTGGGCCTGAGGAGTAATTCGAGACAGGATTTGGCGAATGCAAGTTTCAGAAACGACATGTTAGCCGGGGGAAACGGCTTCCAAGGAGAATACCCACCGGGGGACGGCGGATACACCTACGCCTACTCCAAGACCTCCTTGCACGGGTCCGGGGGACCGAAGATGGCCGTTAGCATGGGGGCGGCAGGTGGGGGAGTGAGGTAGGAAATCACCTGTTGCCTGATGTTTTGCTTTAATAAGCCTTTACATGTATTTAAATACGTTTTTTCACAGCTTCCAAATCGCTGAACCATAAACTACACATTCATTATTAATACATGTTTTGTCATCGGCGTCCATGTAGCTAAAGCCATAAACCCCATTTGGGAATGTTTAATCGATAATGTTGTTTTTATTGGCACCATTAAGATTAAGAAATGTAATCAAACGAGCCAAGTATTTTATTGGTCCAAAATCTAAACAGGATCCGTGTTGACCTACATTGCTAAGAACGTAATTTCCCTAGTTTGTTTTTCGTTTCAAAGTAATCATTGTTGTATCAATCTTGATTGATTGCCAAATATTCCATATAGGAAATAGCCTACGTGCATATTCCCCTTGAATGTCTTCCAGTTCAGTCATTCATTATGATGTGACTGCTAATGTTTGTGATGATTTCTGTGACAGAGCTTTTCAAACTATTTCCTTGCTGTACAAACTATTTCCTTATATAAAAAAATATTCTTAATGCTTAACTTATGGTGAACAAAGGTTAAAGTAAAACACGAATAGGGGAGTTGCAATCTCTTTAAAGAGAGAAAGTCAAGAGTTTGTTCATTTTTTGTATTGGCGAACTTTTTATGACCTTTTCCTTGTACAAAAATTGTTTAAGGATTAAACTGCAAGTTTATGATTTTGAAAAGGATTATTCCTCACCAGAAATGTCCTGTTGTCACGCAGTTTTTTCATTAAAACCTCTAACATATTTATAGTAAGTATATAGTATAGTAACTGTGTCTAAAACTTATTTTTAAAATATGCTTTTTACATTGATATTTTGTTTAAGTTATATTACAAACTCTGAAAATGTGTTGTTTTGTTTTTTTCCCATCATGTGTAGTGCACAGACAATTCAGCACAAAGCTATGTACCTGACAAACCAGTGCCAGGGCTTCCTGCAGAGGGCCGATAGGATCCTCCAGGGTGTAAGTGAAGCATACAGATTACACTGAACTCAACTCAAGTGTGTGGTTTCACTAATTGTTATAAGTTGTTCTCTTCATGCAGCAACATGCCAATGCTTTATCATCAGATATGATTTTAAAAACAGATAATATCATCCACAACGATTCAAGTGAAGTATCATTTGGCAGGAGTAAAGAGTTTAGTGTCTGTGCTGTGTGATTCTATAGGGGGGTCAAGCTGCAGAGGCAGACAAGCTGTTGATGATGGCTGCAGAAACCATGGAGCAGATGATGGTCTGTGGCAGGGACCTGCAGCAAATGCGTATACCTAATGACGTCTTCGGAAAGTAAGATAAGATGCAGCGTGATAGTTTGCTGCAGATGTCTTTGATGTTCATGGCTCAGTGTGCCCTCTGGAAGATTCACAAATATTCCTTTTTATTCTACAACTACAGCGTAGAACAGTTCCAGCACATGCATGGTGCTATTCAACAGCAACTAGGCAGTAGTGTGACGACAATCAGACGGAGAAAAAGCAGCGTGGGTTCCCAGGAAGGGGGGAGGATCTTTAATGACGCCATCGCCTGGATTTCTCAGCAAAAGGTGAGCACTACATTCATTAGAGACATCTAAGATCCCAATCAAAACAAATGTGGGTAATACGATTGAAATGAATTTTATGATAATATTCCTCATCAAAACACATCACTATATATATATATATATATATTGTAGGATCAAATATAAAATGATGAAATACAGGATAAAAGTGTAATTAATCATCTGTGTTCCCCTTTAATGGACTAAACCCTTTACACAATATATATAATATAATGCATTTCATGTTAAAAAGAGTTGTAATGACTTGTTTTCACTAAATGATACAGAATAGTCGCTAGTAAGAGTGAACTTGATGGCACCCTACGCACAAAACACTTTGTCCAATAGTATTACAACCTGTTTGGCAGAATGAAAAGTAGCACCTGCATGTGTGTTCATGCCTGAATAGGTAGCACCATTTTTGATGTGAAGTGAGGATGACAGAAAGGAGGGGGATGCACTTACACTATCACTTATTCTGACCTCCTGTAACTGAAACCATCTGGACATGCAGCCAAAACCTGATCCGTGAGTGAAAGAGGCCCGGG